TTGTGAAGGCGGACTGATGAGTCCAGTGTTAACTTCATACTCTATGCGTGGGAGCTGCCGCGGCCATTCTGTAAATCCTTGAGTTAAAAAGTCATTGTTTGTAGTAAACCTGAGTAGTACATGAATAAGAAGATGAGGTATGAAAGCTCAACCAACTATCAATTTTCATGTTTCAGGTTCAAACGCACTTTATTGGTATCATTGATGTTCTATATGGTACTTATCCGACGTTTGCCATCTACATTGGCCTGTCCAAGGACGGCGCACTTGCCAGACCAAAAAGTGCATGATGCCTTGAACAGACTGCATTCCATACTATCAACACATCGTAGGAATGTTATGGCAAAAGCAAAGCCAAGAGACACCTCCTCTTTGGTGCCTCTTCTGTTTATGCTGAGCCACTGCTTCCACTTCTTACTTCCATTGCGTCCTTTGAATAATTATCCTGTGCATGATTTGGCTATCCCACTGCCATCAATTCCACCTTTCCAGTTCATGACAAAGAAGTAGTCATTAACAACAGGTTAACATGCTCCGCGTACAAATCCACCAAGATGACACTGGATAGGATACTTGAGAGAGAGTACAAGAAATGATGAAAGACAGTTCGATTGACAGATCCATAAGAAGGAGTTATTCTTGACGTTTGCACGCCACTACATGCACGAAGTTATCTGGGTAGGCCATCCATTCACACATCCATTGAGCCGGCGTCTCTGATGGCACTTCCACACCGTGCACCAAAAAGATGAAATCTGTAGAATAGGGCAAATGACAGTTACTGAAATGCTATGAGTAGAAAAGTGCCAAACTGACCTTCAGCACGAAGCTGAACATTACTGCACTTGAGGAGGGTGGTAATCACATCAAAGAATGTGACTGGAGTTCCATCTACCTCAGAGAAGGGAGACACAAGAGTCTGGAGGTAGGTCATGGTGGGAGGCGAAGTGTCGAAGGTATGAGGGGAAAAGTACAAACGAAAGGGGCAGTGTCGAAATGCTTTCATTGCACCGGTTGCAACCATCAGAGCTGCTGCATCCTCAGCGAAAATTCGAGTGGTTTGGCTATTCTCAGTGTCGTCACCAGTGGAGTCTGTGAGAGGATCTACAAAAATGTGTAAACTCGGGAGAAACGCTCGTTGTCGACTCTAGATTAAATAAAGGACAATATAAGGTTCGAAATAACAATTCGTTTCGTGAAAGTTCCGTTACTGTACGAGTTTTTTTGCTGTAGTTCGTGTATTAGAAAGGCTTAATAATTAAACGCTAAATCCAAAATATCAAATTCCCAAATGCAGTACGTCTTGATAAAACATCACGTAAGAGAATGTCGAAGAGGAATATGAAGCTGTAGGAAGTGAAATGATATTCTTTTACTCCACTGTCGTAAACGAACGATCGCCAAGATGGAAAAACAGGTCTTTGCAGACAGCCCATTTAGAGGTAGCGATGGTGAAAAAGTCAAACAATGTATGACAGTAAGACCATTTTTTGGGAACAAAGGCGAAAGGATACTGGACTCGCGTCAGTGAAAAAATGCAGAGATGCAGTGCTCACCAGACATATATTGCTTGGCAGCCACAAATGGCCTGGAAATTAATGATGTCTCAGAAATGAAGGGAATAATTTACACAATGATTTGGGTTGCACGTTTTATCGACAAAGGGTGGCTCAGAATAGGAATTAATAAGTTAACCAAGCAAATCTGTGAACTAACTAACCTGATTGAGGTAGTGGTCTGATAGGAGCAGGAGCGCCCAGCATGAAACGTTTATTAATAGACCAGAAGACGTCGAAGCGATGCTGCAGAAGACCGTTCCACAGTCGGTGCTGTTCTGCTGGAAGTAATCCGTCGAAGATCGGTCCAAGACCTCCACGACCTCGATGCTTCAGCTGGTCCGCCTCCTTCAAAGTAGCTATGAAGACGGCCTCAACAGCGGAACGGGAGACCGGAGGTGCAAGCAGAATGTCGGTTGGATATTCCTGTCAGCAAAATGCATGGGAAGCAAAACGCTAGTTCCATCAACTTTGTGCTTGCTTGGATAAACTTGCCATCCTCCTAGAAGTTGCTTGTCTGAGTAGTACCATAAAATCATGATAGAAATTGCTGGATTCGTAAATACTGCACCACAATTCTGCTTGCAGTAAGTGAACCTACACCAAGGAAACAAAAACTGTTTTTGCTAAGTGAATGTCATGAAACAGAATGGATAAGTATACAGTCCTGAATGAAGAGAACTGACATCACACCGAACTTTGGCGGTTGCCTCACACGTTTGTAATGGAAGTGAAACATAAGAAACTACAGATAAGAGGACCGATTGAGACGCACAAATGCCAACAACGAATGTTGTTGAGAATGGGAACAACTCCTATCTCTCCACCTTAAAAAGACGAAGACAACAAAAGAAGAACTGTATACCATTGGTACGACGACCAAGTTTTCATTATTCAGTTTTGTGCAACACTGACAGACATTGAACAGATAAAATGCGTTTCGCCAACTCTTAGAAAATCTGGAGAAGCGAAAGAAAATGAGGTTCTACAATAGATTGACAAGAAAGACAATAATGTAAAGCAACCCGAATCACCACCATTGGATTTTAGAAGGCCACCCTCCATTGAGTGAGAGTATTACATCACTGAACAAATGACTAGATGGTTGCAAAATAGTGCTTCTGGTTTCCCATAAATCTGGTACTAGGATGAAGAGATGAGATACAGTTGTACTATTACAGAATTTCACATGAGTAGACGTGAATATAAATGACAGGTGGTGCCTTACCTCAAAGTGCACAGTGATCTCCCATGGTAGCCTGTCAGATGAGCCATAGAGATCGAACAGCAGCCCAACAGGATAATGCCTAGAAAACGATTACTTTGGTGAGTGTGCAACTATGCCATTCACAAGCATTAGAACGACTGATCGTCTTAATCCTTAGCCTTCATTTTCCCACTGTTAAGGGGTTCACAACGACCTGGGAGAAGTAGAGCTTAACAACCAAAGTTAACTTGCCATTTAAGTGGAACGCCGTCGTAGGATAGCCAATAATCCACTTCCTTCCTGGTAGGATGTGATTCCTCGGCAGAGTGCGCAGGTGAAGAGTCGTCGTTGGAATCAGAGCGAGGATGTGTGTCAGAAACCCGTGAATTCGATTGAAGGTAGATATAAAATTGTGGAATTGCCTTCTCCAATACAAGTGCAAAATACGTGACCCGTGGGACCAACATCTATTAAAAGGAGAAGCTTTTGAAAGAGTCGCATAAAACGATAAAGTGTAGCAAAATAAGAACTCACAAGGAAGGGAGGAGGGGGTGGTGGAAGTTCATGAGTTATTTCACTAGGAGAAATACAAAAAGAGACAGGAATCGAACCGTCCCATATTTTTTGGGAGATGGTGTCATTTAATTCCATCTGCATACAGGATATATCGAAGAATATTATTACACTCTCAGCCGACCGATCTAAAACATCCCGTAAAAGCAATATAATTGGAACGACACGACTAGCAAGATGAAACAAAAAATAGAGTAGGAAGTTCTGAAGCACATGCCTAGGAGTCAAGGTGAATGTTACCAGCAGCAGTATCTTGAAAGGTGATGCAGAACATTTATCCGCTAAAACAAAAACAAACGAAGACAGTTTATTGACATAATTTTGTGCAAGCGAAATTTTTGCATGCGGATAAAATGAGAAGCTTGAAATAACATGCCCACCCACTTAAAACTGACAGCGTAATTTAGATGCATTTTAGCCCCTTTGTTTAGCCTCGTATTTAACTGTATGTGAGTCTTGACGGAACGTCAATGCCTGATGATTATTTTCCCCTTTTTGAGGACGAGAAGATTCGAGAGTATGCGCTTTGCAAGGGTATCTTGTGATCTCTGAAACCTTCATTAGCTCCTAGACAGCTTGCGTAACTTTTATTCTCTCGCCGTTACAAATGCGTTTCCGTCTCATGACGGATGTGTAAGACTTTTACCCGTGTAGTTGGCTGGATTTATCTAGGTTAATACCATAAAATGGGACAAGTCAGGACAGTTTCTCTTGTCGGGGGGTGATGATCGCTGTGTCGCTATCACCGATGTCTTTTCAAATGCCGCTGAAAACGTCGTCTTTCGTAAGGAACTGAAAGCTATGAGCAATATCCTTATAGCAAAGTTTATACCAGAAACATGCGATGATATAGTACTTACTCCTTTTTCATACAGCGCATTTATTTGACTAGATTTATGCAGGCTTTCGTTGTGGATGTGTAATGCGTGTTTCTGTAAATGGTGGGACCAGTCTTGCTGACGGTCAGCTCTTTTTCTCCCACAAAATGCCAGTATATGACGTAAGACAACTCGAATTCTTTTTCTTGTTCCTTTTTTTGTTTGTACCAACTCTTGATTTGGAATTCAGATCTTGACACTACAAGACCAGCAGCATTGTATAATTACCCTATCACATGACCATACTGTTCGTCTGTGGGATACACGCCTACCCCATCACATTGGTCGTGATATGCAGCTTTGTGGCCGAACATGTTTCTTCAACACCATCAATTCTGCAACTTCGATCCACTCAACACTGCCTCAGATTGCTCCGGCTATGCGATTCGAATTTCCCGTCACCGCCGGTGATGTTCATCCTCTGGACGGCTCGCGAGCTATTGCCCTGGCCAGTGCCGATGGCTTTGTGCGATTGTTTGATCTTCGTCGCCTGTGTTCATTATGTAACTCCTATTTTACTTCCTACCTACACCATTCTATGAACATCTACGGCTTCTATTTTTGAATTCATCAGCGATGGACGCGTTGGCAACGGGTTTAAAGCGGGAAACGCCACATCCATATCAAATAGTTCGTCCTTTGGGTCTGGCTAGTCAGTCAAACTTCTCCCGTGAAATTCGCCTTGACTATGGTCCGCTATTCATCACCTCCGTGTGCTTTGAACCACTTCATATCTCCCTTAATTTGAGTCTGCAACAAAGTCTTCGACGGCGTCGATTCAAATCGCAGTATCCTGGACGGCGAATGCTTGTCAGTCACATGTATTCCTCTGTATTCCTCTTCGATCTCAACAAACTAGAGGAGAAAATTGAGGAGTTTTCGCAATCTGCTGACCAGTTACCATCAGTGAGTGTCGGAGTACCTTACAATGAAAATGATATCATTTTTGTCGACTTTTGATTTTCTGCTTTAGTCTGCCAGAATTAAGGAGGAGGAGGGGATGGGAGCTGAAGGAAGTACTGCTCAATCATTGGGAGACGTTGAGAGTTCTGAAAATGTCGAGCCACGTGAGTCTATTCATAGTCTGAAAAAAAATAAAAAACACATCGGTTTTTAAGGCATTGCAGTTGTTGATCGGCCGAAGTTGTTGTTATTTTATTTTAATGCACATGATTGTTGTAGAGGTTGCTCTTATATGTTCGTCTTGTTGGCAATCTGATAATTTGCTTTTCCATGCATTCGGTTTTGGATCTGTCTGTCCGCCTATTTTACTGATAAAAGACAGTTTCGACAGGGCTCAAAGTCCCTTATGATTTCGAGCCCTTCTGGTCATCACATTTGGATTCTTTCTTTACTCTCACTGTTGAAGATTTGACAATCTTGGTTTATTATTAGCGCATAGAAGTTCTGGGCTGCTATAGACGCGTCCATGAAAATGTTGGACAACTTGATAATCCTAAAGATTCTGCACAGATGGAGACATTTACCACGCATAAGAGAGTTCCGCCAGTTGATTATGTTGTCGGATTTATTTTGGAGGAGTTCCTAAAAGTGCTTTTGGCTTTCTTTGAAACCATCGAGGTCGATTTATTTTTAAGGAAAACCGGTCTTACTGTGCTGGTGGGCCTTCGCTGACAGCAGTTATTTTTTTATAGGACCTCAGACAGACATTATTTCTCTGAGAC